GATGATGAATATATCCAAACACGATTTACAGTATCAAGCAAATATCAATAAGAAATTTACTAAGGGATTTATCTTGTCACATATATGCCCTAACACACTATCCAATGCACGTGACACGAATCATCAAAAACATCATATGACGGTGTACACCGACACAAGTACATTTATTTCGTACACTATCAAACATAATTTCCTTCTAATAATAACTATTATATACTTTATTCTAATTTTTCTCTTCAATCAAACTCAATTTTACTTACTTAGATTTTAGATTTCCAATCTTCATATATGATTACGAGATTCTGTTCTCTGTTGGAATTAACCAAAAAAATAATATATTAAGGGTTTGAAATTTTGCAGGGCACAGCTCAGAGCTGTGGGTCATGTAGCCCTCCACAGAGATTTTGCCACCAAAGGAAGGTGATGATGCCATTAATAAAGATAGATTTTTGGAGAAAAATTAGGTCAACGGAGATGTTGACTTGGATGATAAATGATTAGTATAAGGGTTGACTATGGATATATTAAAGAAAATGTTGAAAGAAAAGTTGTAGTGAGGAAGAACAAAATCTTTGGTCTCACATGACATGATTTTAACAACTATTGTGACGGTGTTCTTAGTATTCTTAATCTTTGTTTTCCACGTACCACGGAACACTTAACCTCAAAATATATCATTCAATCTACCTTTTATCTCTTTCTCTAACGCCTTCTTTTTGTGGTTAAAATGTTAAATTATCCAAATGGTTAATATGAATTTCATGTGTGTTGTTGTGATGTGATCATAAAAATAGCTTCCACTGGTTGATTAATTATAGTTTTGCATGCAAATGTATGATTTGAGTTTACCTGTATTTCTTTTTATTATTTTTCTTTTGGGTTTATTTGTTTAAGTTAATGTTTTGATTTTGTCCATGTAAAACATTTTTTTAGTGTCTCTAAAGTTAAAAGCATTTTTGTAGTATTTTGTAACACTCTAACTAATGAAAAACCACATTATATATAATGCATAGATTTTAATGAAAATAAAAAATAATGATTTTTTATTTTAAAGGGATTAAAACAAATAAAAAATTACGAATACAAAAATTAAAGCTTTAAAGGGTTTTGACAACAAATAAATAATTTACGAAAACCAAAATTAAAATCCATTCATTTTAATGGGCGGAAACATATTTAATTCAATAATTAATTTTCAAAAGGCTATCACACATTGACCTATAGGAAAATTTGAATTTTTTATATAAAGTGTTATATTAAAACTTTGCTGACTTGTATAAAAAGACACATAATCCTAAGCCTAATTTGAAAATTTCAATTTGTAAGTTATCTTCATTAAAATATACAGTATAACATATGTTCATATTTTTTCTGTTGCCAAACATATAGCTAGCTTTGTAGTCTTTAAATAATTGTATCAACATAATCAGTTGACACATTAAATAGTTATTACATACTTAAAAAATAATAATCTCCACCTATAACTTTCTTGAAATACTTCTAAATTTTTCAGTGTTATCGTTATAGATCACTTTAAGTAATTATTATTATAGATAATTAAGAAAAAAACACAAGATTTTAAATGTGTTTAGCTATGAATAAATTGTGATAATGATACATATATATACGACGACCATTCTTATTTAAATTTCACAATAGTATATTCACTGAATTAATAATCAAAGAAAAATTAAGAAAAATGATTTTTTCATACACTTAAATATTTTACATTTATTTGACATTATTCTTACTTATTTTTTACTTTTTTTTAAAAAAAAAATATAAAAATTTACACTTATACCATTTTACTCTTTTACTGTGTGTGAAATGAATGTAAAAATGTGTCATAGTACCATTACTCAAATATTAATTGTGCCAATCTAAGGATAGTAGAGTTTTAACTTGAAAAAAATGATACTTTGGCACACATATTTTTTTACATTAATTTGATAATACCCTTCCTTACTATTTTTTTTTTTAAATTACAAAAAATTATATTTTTAAGATCATTTTATCCTGTTAGGTATGTAAAATGAATGTCAATGTATGCTACCCTGATTGACTTGATATATAATGTGGCTAAGGGTATATGAGAAAGTGTCTTTGAAGAGAAGGAAGACCAATGTTAACTGAAAGAAACAATTTCATTAAAGCATGTTCGAGATAGTGCTAAGCAACAGAAACATATATAAATCTCAATGCAGTTTTATATTTTCTCAGCAAAGTCAACTCTACCAGAGATTATGTATAAAACGAAGTTTGAAAGCGACGGATGAAAGAAAAAACGTCTATGTCATGAAAAAAGCTGTGTGAGTGAATTAAAAATATGGTATGGTTTGACAATTTTGTATGTCAAAAGATAGTTTATTTCTTCAACATATTGGTTGGCCACAAAAGGCACCATTGAAGAAAGTTGAGTTTCATGCACCCACAGCCCCACAGGGTAGAACATCGCATTTAATGGTTTTAATTATTATCAAAATTATGCATTGCAGAGAAGACTTTGGGTATTTTGATGATAATCAAATTGTTGAAGTGCCAACTCAGTGACCGACCCTCAGAGTTCAGAGTATGCACGTTATTATCTTTTGCATTATAAAAATATGAATATGGTATCAGGTTCCTATGAGAGATTAAGCTACTATAACTTCCTTTTGGAGGGTGGATTGGGTCATTAATAAAATCCCAAGAGACAGGGAAGATCACTCATGCTTTGATTTGCATTCTCAATAATTCATTTTAACTCTGAGACATCTGCTATCTCTTCAACAAATAATATATATTTGTGTATTATATCATTAACTTAGATGTTCCTAAAGCCTTCAAACATAAACTATAAACTAAGTAGTTAGAATGGCTTGACCCTTAGAATCTATATATATAGCCAAAGTTTGAGACATTAGCATTGTGGCAAAAGTTAGAAAAACACAAACACAGAAAAAGACAGACACAATGAGGAGCAATCATGTGCGTTTGAACTGTGGCATTACAATGCCTCTTATAGGATTAGGCACTTATTCCTTCCCAAATGATAGGAACACAACAGAACTTGCCGTCCATTATGCCCTTGAGGTACTAACCATATACTTTTTATATTTACATATGTGTGTGTGTATATATATATATATATATAATATGTATGTATATACTCACACATATACGTACAAATATGTATATATATTTATCGTGCTTTGTTGAACCCCTTTGGCCTTTGCCTTGGGATTTTCTCTTTTTTTCAGTTCTGTCTCCTATTTGACTAAATCTGTTGCTTGCTGTTAGACAAAGGGAGAAAAACTTGATGGTTTTTGTATTCTTCTTTTACCCTATTACTGATACAATAGACNTCTCTTCAACAAATAATATATATTTGTGTATTATATCATTAACTTAGATGTTCCTAAAGCCTTCAAACATAAACTATAAACTAAGTAGTTAGAATGGCTTGACCCTTAGAATCTATATATATAGCCAAAGTTTGAGACATTAGCATTGTGGCAAAAGTTAGAAAAACACAAACACAGAAAAAGACAGACACAATGAGGAGCAATCATGTGCGTTTGAACTGTGGCATTACAATGCCTCTTATAGGATTAGGCACTTATTCCTTCCCAAATGATAGGAACACAACAGAACTTGCCGTCCATTATGCCCTTGAGGTACTAACCATATACTTTTTATATTTACATATGTGTGTGTGTATATATATATATATATATAATATGTATGTATATACTCACACATATACGTACAAATATGTATATATATTTATCGTGCTTTGTTGAACCCCTTTGGCCTTTGCCTTGGGATTTTCTCTTTTTTTCAGTTCTGTCTCCTATTTGACTAAATCTGTTGCTTGCTGTTAGACAAAGGGAGAAAAACTTGATGGTTTTTGTATTCTTCTTTTACCCTATTACTGATACAATAGACATGTGTATATTTGTACATGTACAGATGGGTTATAGGCATTTTGACACAGCAAAGATATATGGTTCTGAGCCAGCAGTGGGCAAGGCCTTGAATGAGGCAATCTGCGAGGGAGTAGTGGAGAGAGAAGACATTTTCTTAACGTCAAAACTGTGGGGGAGTGATCACCATGATCCTGTTTCTGCATTGAAACAAACTCTAGAGTAAGCAAATAGAATCTTTGAAGATGTGAAATTGCATGCCTCTGGCTTTACAGGGGAAATTTTCAGATACAGCAGTATCTCAAGCTTTGCCTTTTCATTATTTTTCTAAAGCATATAACCAAAAACGCATGTGGTGTATCATCATTACCAAAATCAAAATCTCAGGGGATAACAAAAACAATGGAGTAGGGTTGTGGCAAAGAATAAATGAATACTGAATCTTGTCATGTCCTACAATATAGGAAACAACTACGTGACAGAATCTTTTTAAATATCAGAGGCAATTACTTAATTTTGAAGCATGGGAGCAAATCTGTGTTGGAAATCTAATGTTGATTTTGTTGTTTTTGTTTAATTGATGCAAAACAGGAATCTGGGTATGGAGTATCTAGACATGTACCTAGTGCACTGGCCAGTGAAATTGAAGCCATGGGTTAACTACCCTGTACCCAATGAAGATGACTTTGAAAAGTTGGAGCTTGAGAACACATGGGCAGGGATGGAGAAATGCCTTGAAATGGGGTTGTGCAGGTGCATTGGGGTTAGTAATTTCTCTAGCAACAAGATTGAGTCCTTATTGGATTATGCTTCTACAACTCCAGCTGTAAATCAGGTGAGTTAGCAAAGTAAAATGATTGAGGGGCATTTTTCTAGTATTTATCATTGTCAAGACACAGTACAATAATTAAGTATTCCAATATATTGGAACATAACATAGGTGGAAATGCATCCAATGTGGAGGCAAGAAAGGCTTAGAAAGACCTGTGGGGACCACAAGATCCATGTGAGTGCTTATTCACCACTTGGTGGACCAGGGAATGCATGGGGATCAACGGCTGTGGTTAATCACCCTATCATCACATCAATTGCTCTCAAACACAGAGCAACTCCAGCACAGGTGAAACTCAACCATCATATGTGAATTTTATATAGTTAGTGGAATCAAAAGTTGTATATGGTTAACATGTCTATTTTTGGCTTTCATTTTTGAAGGTTGCATTGAACTGGGGACTATCAAAGGGCTCAAGTGTGATTGTAAAAAGCTTCAATCAAGAAAGAATGAAGGAAAATATGGGATCGTTTGATCTGAGATTGGATGATGAAGATATGTTGGAGATTGAGAAATTAGAGGAAATGAAGATTATGAGGGGGGAGTTTCACGTTAATGAAACCACGAGTCCCTACAAAACCATTGAAGAACTTTGGGATGGTGAAATTTGAAGACAAAGACAAGGTTATGATCATTTAATCCACAGGGGAAGAACAGAATTGAAGAAAATTTTGTTTCAACTGAAACGTTTAATGTCTTCATTTCATAATCCTAGTGCTGATGGCTTAGAATGATCATAACAAAAGGAAAAAAGAAAGCACGTTTTTTTTACAACTAAACTTGCTTTTGCAATGAAATTTACTGTAACTATATTTCGCTTTCTTTTGCCGCAATTGTCATTTTTAAAATTTTAAAGTTTGACTCCAAGCCTAAGTATCGATTATTAAGTTCGTGCATGAGACACCAAAATATGAACTACATAACTGAAAAAGGAAAACTAAATAACCCAAAGAATTTGGGATCCTCGTGTGTTTAGCAAATAGTATGAATTTAGGCAAATAATTTTCAGAGGACTATATCTGTTGCTTTTTTATCAAGGGACTAAAAACAGAAAAGGAGAAAAAAGTGAGTAACTAAACAACTTAGGTATTCATCCCAAAAGAAGCATCCACTATTATTATCGATCGATGTCGAAGTTGTAGACAATCAACAATGACACTAATGAAACATGTCTAACCCACATTCAAATATATATATATATATATATATAATCTATATATATAGATATATATATATATATTAATAAAGTATTCACGATTGTCATATTCAAATTAAAATAAATATTATAGTGTTGAATTGAAACAATCAACAATAGATCTCCTATCTATCTGTGAATCAGCATATAATTACTAGCTCCAGTTAGTTCAAATTTGTCAAATAAAGGCAAATTATTCTGACAAAAGCGTGGCCAGAATTTGGCTTGACTCGCAAGCTGAAAGAAAAAAAATAGTAAGGACTCGGCAAGACAAGCGGAAAAATTGCTACTTTATGATTTAAAATTGACGTTTAAAATCTAAAATCACTAGTTATAAAGGCAAACGTAAAGAAAATCTGGTGACTTTCAAGCTTCCCTTCCTATTATCCTGCAAGTGAACAAAAGGTAAGAGTTAGTCTCAGGCCATTGTTCTTGAGAAGAATTGGGGTATTGATAAAAGCAAGGATCGATCTATGTAACTAGCATACAAAACAATTTTTCTTTTATATGAATTAACAATAAATCAGACTTCATAAAATGGAAATGATTTAAAGGGAGCAACAAATGCCAAATTCTACATGCATACTAACATAATGATTGGTAATTTTACCTGAAACAATATATTCCCAGGGCATTGGTAATTTCATGGATGACTGATGTGGCAAAATGCAAGTAAAGTGCCACTGTGTTCATAGAAACAGAATAATCCTTGAGTAAAACAAAATAGAGTCATAGGGCTAGTATAAAGAAATTATGTATTTACTCAACCTCAAATGTTAGCCTAAACAAAATTTAACTCAAGTACAGCACAGCAATGCCGATGTATCAATTTTTCATGATCGTAATACTTTGTTAATACTTAATAGTAATTCTTAGTAAGATGAGCTTCTTTATGTTACAAGAAAAACAATACAAGCCATAAATAATCATAAATAAACATTTGATACAAAAAGCATAATAGTCAAACAATAGTGTATGCTACATCGTTGTGGTGGTCACCTTTCGTTGATAATTTCAAAATGTCTTTTTGCATTGTATCTGAGGATTTTGGTGAATTCTGTTTTAGAAATACTTTTTATCGTTAATATTGTAGAAAATAATAAAATATGTTCAAAGACAACCAAAGTCAGTTAGTATGAAAAGCTACGTTAGCCATTTATGGTGGGTCTTCTATGTTTTCAGGTTATGAGCCTTTGTGTTTCCTTGAGGAGACGATGTTTATCCTTTTTTCTACTGTACCTGTTTCTTTCTCTTTTTAAAGAATATTTTTCTTTAGAAACGTAATTATTGAACACTCACATGCTAATACTATACCTAGAAAGAGAAACAGAGAGAAGTGAAGAGATAGATAGATGACATGAAAAAAGAGAGAAATAACGAGTTTCTTGTGAGTTGTATAGGCACAACTACTTAGATGTCAATATATGACTACTATTAAACACGTCCTAACGCCTATAAAAATGACAATTGCATATATAACTACCCATTACTTTCCCAACTACAAAAAAAATGAGAAGCAGGTGTACCTGAAAATGGCACAGTAAACCCAGAAGAACAGTCTCTCATCTAATAAGGAACCCTTCAAAGATATACTATAAATGAGTTTTAGAATAAGAAGCAAACGACTGAAAAGCACAACTAACGAAATTTTCAGAATGAAAAGATCAGTTCATGACCACGTTCACTTCAGCCGTTGATGCAAGCATTAGCAATGGCTAATGTTGGAGATACACGAGGACTGAACCAAAAATAATAATGCTTATACCCAATTATCCCCGTTAGTCTTAATGCAAAAACAATACACAGTCATCACACTGAAAAGGAATCATCATAAGTATTGTATGGTTCTGTGCATGTTTTTTGTCTTTAAACAACAATAATATTTATCTTAAACACAATATTACCGTTGTTTTATCACCACTAAATACATGCTCGATAATCTAAAAAATATTATATGAAAATTCAATCCAGAAATTTTCCTTCCAAAAAATGCGTGAGTTAAAAACTTTTATCGTATGAAGGATCCTTATTCGAATTTTATTCTTAAATGCTTCAAAGAAAATATCACTGACATGTTTGATGTTGAAGTTTTCCGGTTTTCAACGGATTGGGTTTTCTACAGCCGTTGAGCTTCAGCTTAAATTGGTTAAGCTAAGAGATCAAGATTAATGACTGAGTAACAAATTTGAAACCTTGAAAAATAAGAATTTTCATTGACTAGAGGCATTGTTTGAATGATTTTGACGGTGTAGAAACTAAAATTACTACTAATGCCACAAGAAAATATCATTCCGAATTATTAGAAAAGGTTTTGGAGGCAAGCAATGACTGTTTCCCTTTCTTTAAGACCCTCAAGATGATCATCAACAAATCCCACTAATTTGAACGTTATACACATTTACATACTACTATTGAAGAGTGTATGTTGAAAAAAAAAAAACTCCGAACATATCCCTAAGCCATCACGCATACTAAACATTCTATCATTAAGCAACACCATTAACACGCATATGTTACCCCCAGGGATACCTCCATGTTAATTTATTACAACTCTTGTTTTCAAGTCAAGATTGAAATACCAAGGCTTTTCTTCGAAGAGAAAAATTATATACTGAATACTGAAAAAGAGTACAGAGGGTTGCTGCAAAGGTGTTTTGCGTCCACAAGGAGGGCATATATAGGCTAATGTTAATCATTCAATGATACAACTTCCCAATAATCCAGACTCTATTGGAACAATAATGCTCTTAACCTAAAGGATATCAAGAATCTTAAGAGATTGAGACTCGTACTATCTGAGTTTTATAAGCTTAGTCAACAAATATATGACAGTAAGTTTACTGAACGCCCCCAGTTGGAACTTTTGACACACGATCATCAATCGTGTTTTATAGTTTTATAATGAGGATAAAACTAAAGTCAGCATTCTTAATAAAGTAAATCAGTAATGGAAGCGTTTACGCCAAAACATACCAGCACAGTGCCAGTTTTAACGCCTTAGGTTCGTCACATAAATGGATCCAATCATCCTCCCTTGTAAAATTAAGCTTACCTCATAAAGACCACAACTCTGGAGTTGGGTATATAAAGCAGCGAAAGCATAATGCTATTTAAATGTACAATATATATATATAGTCTATAAAGAGGTATTCTATAAAATTAAAACAGACTGCAAGCAAGATGAAACTGCGTATTACTAAGAAATATTTTTTGTCAAATTCATGTTTGTGTTGCAATGGTTGGGTAAAATATCCTAATATCTCTTGTAATATAAGCATATCGCTAGAATCACACATCATTTCAGGACATTTTATTTCCTTTTTTAGAGAATGTGATGTTTATAGCACAACAATCCCTCAGAATCTAACATTCATTTCAGCAATTCTATTCCTTTTTTAAGAGAAGTGATTGTTATAGGAGCAAGCCAATGTCATTTATTATGATTGTAACTAATAAAATATTCTTTTTCATTCCGTATTCAGGCTTGTATCAAAGTTCCTGGCCATGAGGCTCTACTCTCCACCATTCCACCACCCGCCCACCCGCCCACCCTTGAAACTGGTGAGACAGAAAGTGTATTGTGTTTTTCTCACAGTGAGGTGATATTACTCCTGTGGGCCCTAATGATCTCCAAATGTGGTGGGTTCTAGTGTTGTTAAGTGATGGATGAAATTTGGTCAGTGGAGTCATAATCATTCTGAGGATTCTAAAAGGAGGGTAAGGATCTAGATCACCTCCATGGCGGAGAATCATGGTCAAATGAACCTAATTTTGTGGTTTGCGATAATGAAAATTCACTAGTGGATAAGAGAAAATTATATGTTTTATAGCTCCGCTAAGAAGTTTATGATGACCTAAATAATACCTGTTCTTTGAAAAATGATTTTGTTGCTGGCTATGACATTGAAAGTAGGGTGCTCAATAACAAACCGAGTTCTCTCTCTATATTGTAACATATATCGGAATGTATTATAATGATATTTCAAATGTGGTGGGTCCCTACTGGGTAGACGGTCAAAATTATTTGCAGTGGAGTCAAGTATATTTGGAAGAGTATATTATAATGACCTTCCAGACAGGGCATAAAAAAACCTGAATGCCGCTATAAAAATTGAAAAGAAAACAAGAAAAGGCAACGACTTTTCAAATTTAAACACAATTGCCATACCACAAGGTATCCAAAAGTAAGTCCTGTCCCAATAACAACTATATGTGGATATCTACCCATGATGTCCGATGGTGACAAATAATCCCTGCACCAAAAATCACCCAAGTGCTTATAAGAAGTAAAGAATAATGGAAATAATGTGCATATCGTTTAAACAAACTGAGTAAAAATTTTACGCATCTTGAGTTGAGTTTATACCACATAAGAACTCCTCCCACAAGTACAATAAATGGGTAAAGCTGCTCAAGAACAAATACATTAATAAAGCATCCAGATTTATAAGAATATCATAATATGTAAAAAATATATTACCATTGCCAGTGCAAGTGGCATGCTTCCATTCCTTGCCTTCACAACCTTATAAACATTGGTAACACTGCATGTAACAATAAAATAATGTTGACTACCAAATAAGCTAAGTAAAACAGCCTACAGAAATACAAGGATCATTCTGTACTTAACCTAATATCACATTCGCAGATATCTGTAGGCTAACTATTATCAGATTCTGGATGATTTAAGGTATTGAATTCTGCATACTCTAAAATAACACCAAATGAACATAACAGGAAAGAAGAATGTCATAATACTACACGTCTTGAGATTATAGGGTTTAAGGAAGTAAAAAACGAATAGACTCTAAATAATAGTATAATAGATTAATATTGTGACACAAAGCACTTCGCCCTATTTCTATAAATGGTATTTAAGTTGCTTTAAAGCCTCATCTCTGCTCAGAAGATCTTGTGCAACCACTTCCATTAATGTTTGAACATACTTGTGCAACAATATAGGAAGTTATTTTCTATATTCAAACAACCTTGATCTCAGTTTCACTCAATCATCAATGCCGAAAATAACTAGTAACAAAATAACTACCAAATGTTATATAGTTCAACATAAATGAAAATGTGATATAAGAGTTGGAAACATTGAACAAATTTTGAGCCAAGGAGAAGGGGGTATTGCACATGCTAAAGATTTTTGAACATTAATAATTTTAGCTATACATACTTGCATGTAACCGTCGGTGTAACACCAAAAGCTATCATTAAAAACAAAACAGCTTTGAATGTTGGAATTCCTGAAATGCAGAAAAGAAAAATAAAAATCAAGTTACTTATCCAAAACAACGATTATAAATACACCAACAATCTTTATTACAATGAACTATACAGGACAAGCAAATGGAACCCACTTTATGTTATTTGAACCAAACAACCTTAACTTCATTTTTGTTAGACAAGTATGCAAAAATGAATAGATATGATTGTGTTTGGCTAGCTTCTTGTGTCATTTTCACTTTACATGCTTGTATTAATAAAGAAAGTCCACTTTAAGTTCAATTTGTTTCTTGTTTTCTTTCTAAGAATTTGTAGAGGAGATGGGGAAACAAGATTTTGTTTTCACCATTTCCTTAGCAATTCCCTGAAAGTAGAAAACAAAGTGAAAACTAGTAACTAATTTTTTCGTAGTAATAAAAACATATCAACTGAATATGAAAACTAAAAAACAGAGATGCACCCAATGTAATTGATTTGTGATACACGGATATCTGATAAGAAGAGCTAAACTGCTCTAAAATACATAATAAATCTATAGTTTAAAAAACTGAAAGGTAACATGAATATTTCCACCCTTTCCATAGGTAAGAAGAGAAGAAAGTGCATTTATATGAACCTAAATATGCCATCAACTAAATTATGACACAAGTGTCATCATCCTCACTTTAAGAAATTAAAACTATAAACTAATATTATTTTTAATAGTCTACGACCATCCTATAAAATCTTTGAACCATTTTATTTTTCTTCTTTGGAAGTGTCCCTAGACTCATTATAGATGCATATTCAATATGATGATACATTTATTTTGAAAATAATAAGATACAATATGCACATAAATATTTAAAAATGTATAGGAATTCTTCATCATAATAAATATGTAATTGCAATTGTGTGGATCCAAAGTAAAATTCACAGTACTAATCTGAACAAAAAATTATAAATTCATCGTGCGAGCATTCGTGTTTCATAGATTGCATACTTCATTGATAAGTATCCAAGAGTAGAGGACATAGATATGGATAAGGTCGATACGTATACATGAGCAAAGTAAAGTATCAGTTTTGCTCATATCTGTCAATCTCTTTTTTCCCCCCAAAAAAAAACCCAAAATTTTTAAAATGATCTTAGTTCATAAATAAACTACATCAAGAAAAAGAACGATGCCCAAAGAGTTAATGAGAAATGAAACTTTCAACTAAAGGCCTGAAACTAAATGTGCCAATTTAAAGAGTCCCAGTTAGGCGAATGCAATTGATTTAAGCACTCAGGAAAACATGTTCTTTACGGCTATTTCTTACCCAAATCCGAGCTCATAAACACAAGCAAGCATCTGAGCTGACAAAGCAAATCTTGCCTATGGTAAAGATGAACATGCAGAATTAATAGTTTGATGAAATATGCCACATTGCAAGTAAATCTAAAATTGTTTTTCATGTAAAAGCACATCAAATTGTACAAACAGTTTTGGTCCAAATTCTCAAAAATTGACATTTTCTATGTTATGTATGAAACCTGGAAAAAGGTATAACAACTACCACAAATAGCAATATAGACTATATAATGAAGGACGTCTTACCCTCGAGATAAGGAAGCCAACTTAAAAATGGCAAAGAATTTCCAAATGCTGAGCCCACCACTCAGCACCTATAATAAATAATAAATAATAATAAAAACAACAGCAAACACAGGATTCTTATCAAATTTAGTAGTTGTGTGTATAAACATAACAAAAGTCCATACCCACGATAGCAGTGAAAAAGTGACAGATGTATTTCTTCTCAGACCCTCGTAAGGTCCCATTTTATCACAAGGCATATAAGTGTGTTGGTGACATAGCTGCATCCAAAACAACATTTAGAAGAAATCAATATTCCCTAGACGTCTAATCATATGTACCTATGGTAACACAAACAACAAACCAAAAACACCCAAACAACCAACTTTCCACACCAAAAAAAAAATTCATACCATGAATCCACGAGGTTTTTTTTAAATATATTTTTAGTTTCACAGCGAACATTGATTTTGTCCCTGTCCTAAACCTAACTTCGTACACTTTCAATTCAACCTCATACTTTACTAATCAGTGGATAAAGTCTTCGTCAACCAACAATGTTAAATATTTGGAGATGTGGTAAACAGCATTGCACAATGGATTAAACTTGTAGTTCCACGTGGCTGTTTTAGTGTTGACATAGTGCCCCCTCATAGCTTAGAGATAGTAGACCTAGAGATGGGGATTAGGATGGAAGGCAGTGGATAAGTGATGAGGCTGGTGGGGGTTACAGTGGCAGGCTTGGAGTTGATGAGCTTGGTGATGGTGGACCCAGAGGTGGTGGTTATGGAGGCACCCAAAATGCTAACGCGTGTCAACACTAAAACAGCCACATGGACCTACAACTTTAATCCACTGTGCAACATCATTTACCACGTCAATAAATGTTCAACATCCTTGGCTGAACAGAGACTTCATCCATTCATTAATAAAGTATGGAAATGAAAGTTTATACAGTTTTTAGGGATAAGAACGAACTTCACTTTGCATGAAAATTTCGACTAAAACATAATACCTTAAAATATATATCACAACCAACATTCCTATATTTGGTGATTTTTACACAGGGAAGATTCCAGCTTTAAAAATAAGAAACATTTTATTCTACAAGAATACAAACAGGACTTGCAAAATTTAGCATACCCTATCATCCATATCTTAATTGACATGATAACTTCCTGCTCTCCAGGTTGCAAACCATAAAATTAATTTGGCAGATATTACCACCCACCAGAAAGTACCGCGCTCTTCCACACATGGCTGTGCTCCCAAAGCCAATGTTCCAACTGAAAACAAGTTATCATATAAATTGGGGACGCCTTTAAATTCTCTTCCAATCACTTAGAATATAGCCAGTTAAAAGAGGCATACCCGTCCAAGCAAAGTTGTTTTTTTTTCCAAAAATCACACCCTGCAATAAAGTTGAAAATTTTCTTCATTAATACAAAGGTAAGCATTAATTAAAAAACAATACAGTAAAAACAACGAGCACAAGAAAATCACCATGATCAAGAGCTCCCCCAATGGGCTTGAGGAATTTGTTCGTCTAGCTTGCTTCCCATCAACAGCATCAATGTCTAGAGCTAGCCATATACACAAACATATAAGAAAAACAATAAAATAAGTATCAAAATAATGGAACTTGGTATGTAGTAAAAATCTTCCACAGATAAACCATATGAATATTGCTTAGCTGTCGTGACATAAACTGATCATGGAACAACTACACATAGTAAGATATATATAATAAGAAAGGCAATGTGGAAAACATTAAAAACAAAGAGTTCCAATGTTGATTGCCTTTTTGGGAAATTTAACTGCAATATGAAACAGAAAGTCAGATGTAAACATCCAAGGATAAATTTTTTAAATAATATCACAATCATAATATAAGAGGCTTCACTTCAGCCATTAGAGCACTAGGTTCATACATCATTTAGACTCGTGCAAACAACACCAATATAATCAAGATTCAAGAAACTAGCTGAGGACAAATATTATGCACATCAAATGAGATCACAATTCAAGGCAACTGATTACCACATAAGTAAAATTTATCTCGCTTGGTTGCCATCAAGGCAGCAAAACAGGGCTACCCAAAATAAAGATTGAAACCAAAGTCAAAGAGAGTGAGAACTTGGCAAGTACTGCACCACAAGTATTTTATCCTACCTGGTATAAAAACAGAAGTAGTCCATGGGCAAAATGAACCCATCTTGGAGGAGCTGAGTCCAAATGTGGAGAGTATATCTGAAAAATAAATAAATAAATTTATATACAATGTATCTAGGAATTCACTGTTTCAATACAACCGCTATATCAAAATTGCCTACCTTGACCATGTAAAGAACAGTTCCACAAAAGAAAGTATCAATAATGCATAAAAGTAACCAACAATCTTAAATATGCTTAATATGACTTTAATTTTGGAAGTAGGAAGAACAATGGACTCAAGTTCCACTTACATAACCAAGCAATGCAGACACTAATAAGAACATGAATCCCATAAGAGTTATCTGCAATCAAGAAATTTATAGATTTATTAGCACCAATTTAAATGCTTAAGAGAACAACATGTACGCTACAATAAGAAAGGAGGCAAAGGTGTACCATGTTTGGCTGGGAGATTTGAAGAATGCCAATATATCATGATAAATAACAAAAAAAAAAAGGTTTATGAGTCAGAATATTCAAAAGTCAAAAGCTAAATAAAAAAATTAAAATAGCTACCTTTTTGCCAAAGAGTAAATGATATTCTTATCAATAACAGTGCATAGTTACTATAGCCAGAAATTTCAAACATATATTTCAATCAGGAGGTGAACTGACTATGATATTATCCAGCTACAGTAACCCTAAAAAACTATTATTATAATAAATATTTATAAGAAAAGTTCCATTACTTTAATAAAAACACTCAATCTGCTCAAATGAAGTTCATAATCTGATTTATCCTTCTTGAATTAAAGAGATGTTTATATATAAACAGATAAACAAGTCAACATAAAACAATAACTTTGTTTCATTCAAATGATAAGAGTACTCACGGCATCCATAGGGGGAAAAAATTAACAAAGCGTGTCCAAAAGGGTTGCAGTACATATTTGGCCACGTAGGAATGATCTACTCCCTATACTTATATTTGTGCAAAGCTGCGACACCGTGAGACCCAATATAACCCATTTTTCTCCTCAAAGCTTCAAGGATATACTAAGCCTTAGCACAACCTGCTAAACTTTGAAAAAGAACAATTAGACCAAATAAATATAGGAATCTGCAAGATGCCCATTTGAAAATTGACAAAAGATTGAATTTGAAGATACAAAAATCAACTTGAACAAATTTGAAAGGAAATCCCAAATGCAAAATGATTAACTGACAAGAAAAAGCCAGATTAATAAAAGTATTTTACACTGAAATAATAGATGTTCTAAGAGATGTCTAAATGAAAAACAAAATTTATCTAAGTAGGTCAAAGAAACAAACCCGTTAAATAAAATTATGAAAATGGAAAAATACGAAAAATACATATAAAATTCCATCAAAGAAGAAAAATAAAAGCTAAAAATTAAACAGTACTTAGCAGCCGTATTTGAAACAAAGCGCTTAAACTATAATAAGTAATCATGTTAGAAACCAAGTTTCGTATTATTTATTCAGGCTAGCACATAAGGCATTCCTTAAGGGCACTTAGCAGTAACCCTTACAATTATGTAAAGTGAATATTGTAATAGTTGTTTTGACCACGAAGGTAGCTTCATTAGCTAATGTATTTTGAAAAAGAATACAAATATGGTCAGATATTTTTCTGTTAACTGTTTGTCTTCATTTCCTAGTCCATTATCTGATACAGCATGCACATTTTAACACTTCTTACTGTCTCACGTTACCTTATGTTTGGATAAAGTAATTAGAATATCTTATATTTCAATTTTATTATTTTGATAAAGTAATTGAATTTCTCTTTTAAGATAAAACTTCAAATCAACCAGCGCTGTACATCAAACAGTCAATATCTAAAACAATAAAGACAACTTATAAAATATAAATTACTGAATTGAAGGTTTCTGCCAGGCTTCATTAACATAGTACGCAAACAAATCAGAGCAAGAGTCCTTGTCTATGAAAAACCACTGGACACAAAAATATGGAACTGAAAGCTGAAAGAATACATTGCAAAGACAAATTAATACAAAATTCAGCTCACTGGTAGAAACATAATTGGACTCTTTCAGCTCAAAACCCTCTTTTCTTTCAAAGGCATAAACCTATTAACTTCAAAGAAAAAAATACCCACCAAAAGGAATACTCTCAAGAACGAATTTGCATGATGTAAACAAGCCACCCAACTTTCTCAAAAAAAAAAAACAAAGTAAAATGTTCATAGTTACATCACGCTATGGTCCTCAAACTCGTGAGTTAACTTGTTAACTCGTACAAGTTTACGTTTTCACTCATAGCTTTCGAGTTAACTCGTAGGCAAGCTTTTAGTGTAAACTGGGTGATCTCGCTTAAACTGGCGAGTTTGGTACCGAGTTGGCGAGTTCAAGTATATCCCCAAACAGCAGCCACCATAATCGTTTGGTGTGAGAAACTGAAGAAAACTCACCAAATGTAGGATTTCACTTTTGCATCCGCTTGTGTGTTCGTTCTTAGCTTAATCACCGTGAGGTCGCGTCTCCTTGCTGCGTTGTTGTTCACTTGCCGCTCGACGCGCCGTCGTTAGGTCGTCGCTCGCCACCCCGCCGTTCGCTTGCCGCTCGATCGCGTCTCGCTTGTTGTGCTGCAGCATTTAGGAAGGAAGGAAAGTGTCACTGTGTAGAGGAAGAGAGTTTTATTGTTTTGCATCTTTTAAGAAAGGAAGGTAATATGATTTTATATTATTTATAAATTATTCTTTCAATTGAATTATTGTTTCAACTTTCATGGAATCAAATATAAAAGTGGAAATATTTATTGGTTTGTGAGAAAGTTATTAAAGACACATTTCAGTATTTCTTTTTAATTTTCGAAAAGTTATATCCTCTTTTCATGATTCTAATTTTACCTTTTATTTTTATGCCATAGTTTGGGAAAGTTATATTCTAATGGGAAGGTACATTTTAATTCTATTGTTACTTTTTTTATTTTAATTGCTTAAAATCTAAAACCTTTATGAGAATATTAAAAGTCCTTCATATTTCCACCTAAGAGGAAATTATACTTAAACTTAAATAACATCTCCAAAAAAACATATTTTAAAAATACCTTCATGAGAAACTAAAAAAAACACTCAAAATAAATAAGATAAAGTGCATTAAGAATTGTTTATTTTAAGGTGAAAAGAAAATACTATACAAATTTCTTAATAGGTAGAGTTAATGTGTTAGATACATAAACAAATTTAATTTAATTGAGTTAAAAATTTATATATGTTTATTTTTAAAATTTGAAAATTAAAATATATTGAAATTTTGAATAAGAATGAATTATAATTTTGTGTCGCAGTTAAAAACTAAAATTATATTTAACTCTTAAATATTTAACTCTAAAATGAAAAGTTGCACGTGGTAATCATACACATATATTTTTTGCTTAGATATTTGAAGGTTGCATTGAATTTTCTTAAAATTTTAAATTTATCGCTGTAACTATTACCATAACTGTTTTCTTTGTCTTTTTTATTTTAGTAATTTTTTCTTATGATAATTATGTTTTCACTAGTTTATAATAAAGGACTTGATACCTTCTGACATGTTAATGGGTATAAAGAAGTACTAAAAGGATAAAGTAAACATATGCGGCCTAATAAAATCAAATCAGTAGGAAACTTCTCTAACAGACTTTCTCCATCAGAATTTTTCTGATAAATAATTTGAAAAGGGAAAACCATTATATGAAATCAAATACCACATAAAAGGATTCAGAGAATGCTCAGGCAGCCCTAAACGCAATTTCATCTCAAAGCAAAGGAACCATGAAATTCATCTTTACAACACGTGATCGTACAATTAATTTGGTAGCAAATATTGATAATGAAAATTACGTCGATTTATGAACTTTCCATGCCATGATCTCGAAAAATCAGATATCGCAAAGACCGTAATGGCGATGAGCTTGAAAATGTCCCTGATTCCCTTTTCATTTCAAAGTTATTCTCCACAGCATCCAATTTACAACGTGCAGTTGAATCTACAAAGCATCTTTCAGTAATTGGTGAAGTAATTAATACATGCCTACCCCAAAAATTCAAACCATTGACCATTAGATCAATGACTCTCTAATTGTGCAAATACTTTAGAGAAGACAAACAAAAAGTTAAATTTAACAGTCGTAACTTCATACCTGTCAAAATTGGAAGCGATCATTATACATGGATTATGCTGCAGCTACTTGTGTTGTACCATTTTCATTGATACCTTGCTCGATGCACTGAAAGAAATTTTAAGTCATTTCAGAAGTACAGGAATATAGGATCGATCTTATGATGCTTAACAAAAGGCTTTAAGAAACATGTAAAAAATTATCAAACCTGTAATTGGGTAACTCCAATTTGTGATAGATATTACTAAGAAAAAATGCTATGCATTTTCAGTGGGGAATAGTAACTAAAATCACTAGCTTTTTAGTCCGTACATGCTACCATCATCATACAAGAATGTATACAGGTTTTTTTACACCAAAATATGTTCACGAGACAAATGTAAAGGGATTAAGGAATAAAGTTGATTCAGGAGGATATGATCCTCTTTCTCCGGATTCCTTTTCTCTTTTCTAATAAACTTCTTCGTCAATCATAAACCGATATTGAGTATTATTGACTAGAGTATAAATATACTCCAAGATTAACCAAAATCCGAATGTCGCATCTAATAATTTTTTTTACCTGAAGAAGGTAACCATGCAACCAATCCAATGTTTGAGGAAATGTTGTTGCCGATACGTTGACCACAGTCAACCCCTGTAACATCAAATGGCAAGATTTTAAGAAAATAATCACAGATGATACAGATGTAAATTAAAGTTATGTAACTTAAAGAAAATGGCAGGATTAATGAATAAAATTTAGTATCTTCAGTTTCCCGTTCATTAGTTAATACTTCATAAATGGAAACATTGGGAAAAGAACTACAGAGCAAGTAAATATAGAACAATTTGAATTGGAAAAATGGTAAGTGTCATGGTTATCATCAAATAAAACAACTGTCAATATACTGGAAAGAAGGATTTTCCACTTACATTTCCAGTAATGAATAATATCACAGTATACTTTTGAACATACCTGTGATGTGAACGAGCATAGATAATCCTGCATGGTTTTCAAGTTGGCCATAAGTTTCTCATTATCCTGTAAATGAACAACAAAATTCAGATTATTCTCAATCTACAAGAATCTACATGATATAGAAAGAAATCTTGGATCATAAACTGTTACTCAATGCCCTCAAATTTTATGCTTCTGTTGATAGCTCAGAATCCTTTTGTAAATAACCTAACACTTGTTCATTTACTTATTTCCAGTCATTCTCCTCTTGATAAACACACTGAAAGCTAGGATTCTTCAATTAATTGTTATAGATGCCTTTCTTAACAAAGTTTTCTACATGAATGAGAGGTTCTTTAACTCCTCTATATGATATGATCATTAGAAGTGGTTTGTCCACAATCACCGTACAGGCCTTTGTTGACTTGTTTTACAAGATCATTTCTTTGGCTTCATTACGCTTATATAATTTCTTACACACCTATCATTATAACAAAGTAGATTCCCTTGAAACTCAAAACACAGGAAATATATAGTATCCAAAAGTAAAATACCAAGAACAGGGAATGGGGTTTTAGGTGTAGAAGTTGCTATACCAGATCTGGACATTTGTCATAAAATGTTCTGCTGGAGATCCATTCCTCAAGTAATGCCTGAAAAAAAGGTAACACAAATATCTTCGAGTGATATGACGTTTAAAAGTATACGATGGAATTTTATAAAGAGTTGTGCACTTGACCTAAGTGGTTTGCAAAAAATTCAATATACCCTTCTACTATTGGCACAAAACTAATCGCAACAATCACAACAACATTTTGGATCGCATTTATCGTTGTCTTTTTTGTGCCAATATTACAATTGCAGTAAATCCATGCATCAACACCTAAAATAATATTATTATTATTATCATCATCATCATCATTATTTTTATTATTATTATTATTTTCATTTATTATGTTTAAGTCCCCATGCACTATATGAACATCCTAGAGAACACAATGGACCTGTAACCTTGGTTGGATAACCAAAATAAATCCCCAAAGTCCATGCAACAAATGAAAATAAAAAAGCACTTGGTGTATAATTGCTACTTGCACAAAAGTAATGGAAAAATGGACAAAACCTTGTGATCAAATTCAGCCATCTTCAACACAATAGGCACAATTATTGGTTTGGGGCCTGATTTCTTCTTACTAATGGTAGTTTTGTCAGTCTCCAGTTCCCTAAGAGAAGCAACTGCGTGAAAAAAAAATGTTCATCATCCATATTATGCCTTATCTCCTAGTAAGAAACTAATAATCAGCACTATAATATGGCAAATAAAAGAGACTAACCTTTTTGCCCAGGGATACTTACAGAAAGACCCATGGATGTTATAGAATTTGATACTGCTTCAATCTGATCAGCAGATACTCCTTCATTAGTCTCATCACTGCTACCCACATGTATATCTTTTAATTGTATGGTAGCATTATCATCCAAAGTCACAACGACTGGATTTATCTCTTTGTTTTCTGAATGTACACCAGAAGGTGACTTATTGTCATCGTCCACTAAATAAATGCTAGGATCCAAATGCATTCCCTGTCATAATGAAAATATAAATAAACAAATTGAACACACACCCAGACAAATATTTTAACGAAATAAAAAAAAAAACGAATATCAAATTATTAAAAAATTAATTAATTGGACATTTATGGGAAACCAAAGTTACAACTGAAATTATCATTTAACTTTACAATATTTGATTTCCTCTTGGTATCTTCAAATGGTGATTTTTATTTTTGTTGATAAAAGACAAAATAGTATTACTTGAGGTAACATTTGCCCCCCATTCACATACTATATTCTGACATTATCTTTAATTGATATGAAACTCGCATCCAACGCTATTAGCGAGTGACCATTTTAATGATCTAGAATAGGTTTGACACCATCTTGTAAAGTGGGTTAGGCCTAACTTAATCTTGTAAACTTGGTTTGTAAGGTAAGGATTATTGGAATTGATCATCAATAGATACGTGATTATCTACTCATGGTTAGTATTTTAGGAAGTACACTAATCAAATATGGATTGACCAATCTAAAAAAGTTGCAAGGATGTTAAACAGGGATGTACATGGAACATGCCACTAAACACATGTCTATACATACCTCAATTATAATTGGTTTCCCATCTTTCATTGCCTTCTTCAGATCACCGGCCAAACCTAGAAACCAAATGCCAACTTAATGCATGAAAGCAATCAAGTATAAAATATTTGTATCATTACTTGAAAACCATATTCAATTTATAACGACAGATATATCTAGCTAAAAACAACTAAGAAGACCTTTGCGAACAACCCTGCATTCTCTGCAAAACTCAGTTATTAACTCCTCTGGCGAACCAAATTCTCTAGCCCATACAGGATTTGATGCCAATGGTGCACTGCAAAAAAACATATTCAGATTTTATATACGAATATTAATTACTTCAGTCAGAGAACTGTCAAGCAAAGAAAAGAAAATATTGTCAAGTAAGATTTCTCAATTTCTGTTGTGTTTGACTTGGTTAGTTGGCCCTTTATATCAAGAGACATGGGTCATGTTGAGCAATAATAAACAT